TGCTGTCTCTCTAAAATAAATAAATAAATCTTAAAAAAAAAAAAAAAAGAAATCAAATCTAGAATGCAGGCAAAACCTGTTTGAAAGGAAACATGTTTCTTAACATTACTATATATTTCACAAATACATTTGGGTGAATGAAGGCCATATTCTCACAAAATAGAAAAGTTCTAGCTGATTAAATTCATAACTGAATGAAATTTTACTTTATCAGTTTAAACACATAGAGGAAGGAAACTAATGTATGTCAATACAGGATTGACTAAATCGATTTTGTTACATCCATAGTGTTGATTACAAAAAGACATTTTTAAAAAATAACATATATTTATTTGGTCTAATGAGAAAAAGTTTGAAGGCAACGTTAGCACCCGTGATCATATTTGTCAAAATGTGTGAATGTTCTGTGTTAAACTGTCAAATTTTTATTTCGGGAAAGGGCTTGGGAAGGACTAGTTTCACGTTCAGCGTCCTGCAGTAACATGTATAAATTACAGAAATAACCTTTTTTTTTTAATGATTCTGGAAAATAAAGGAATTCATCTTTCTTTTTCTAATAACAAAAACAACCATCTCATTTGGTGGTTGCTAGGCAACATTGGCCGGACCAAACCATCCCGCGAGGGTGAAGGGGGAGATGGTATTTCTCTCGGTTTTGCTCGAGATTCGTCATGCGGCCATCTTGGAGTGGGGCACTGCTCTCTGCAGCCTTAGACTGGAAATTAGACGGAACGTGGTTGCTAGGCAACGTCTCGGCACCGCCACCATCTTTGAGTGGGGCACAGCTGTTTATCAATTTAGAATGTAAAACATCCTAGCCTACCTGATGCTTGCTAGACAACGCCTTGGCGCGGTCACTACTTTCAAGCCGGGCTCTTCATTCTCTTCTTTAAATAAATGGAATCGAACCATTAAGGGGAAACTACGAAACTTTACACGTACGATGGGCGCCATCCTTGTTAGGGGCAGGTGACTTCCGGTTGAGGCGGAAGAGAACCTAATGGGGTTTGGGGAGGTGCTGGAATAGAGACTGAGGGTGGGTTTGAGTTGGATGAAGAAGGCGGGAAATCTCCTTCTCTTCCAATCAGCTCCCCATCTCTCCCTCTGGCGGCTTCGGACGGCCGACCGACCGCCCGACTTAGTGTGACCACGGGCAAACTCCAAGGTGGTCACTGACTGCCCCCACGAGGGGACTGGAGGGGTTCCAGATGGGCGAGGAGGGGACAAAGGGCACCGTACATCTGCTTTGCCTTGCGGCCTCCAGCGGAGTCCCCTTATTCTGCAGAAGCAGCCGCGGCGGCGCCCCCGCCCGCCAGCAGGTGGGGCCCTGGACCCCTGGATCTTCAAAATAGAAATGGGCTAGGCCCTTGGACTCAGGGTCGTCAAGGGAGTAGGGTCTGGAAAAGTTTCAGAGTTGAGTTTAGAGGGCCAAGGGTGCAATGACTGGACTAATAATCCTGGTTCCCAGAGGAGGAGGGGCCAGGGGATATAGAAAGAGGAGGGCGCTGGGGCCCTGGACATTTGGGTTCCAGGGCGGAGGGGACTGGGGGGCTCCTGTCTAATGTTCCCAACTTTTCCCCAGCTCCCGTTCTCTGTCATCGGTTCCCTCAATGGAGTACACATGTTTGGGCAGAATCTCGAGGTGCAGCTGAGCTCTGCAAGGACGGAGGATACGACCGTGGTGTGGAAAAGCTTCCATGACAGGTCTCCAAGCTATAGCTTTTGGGGCAGGGCCAGGGCCAGGGCCTGGGTGACGGCCCCCGTTGAAGATGACCCTGAGGCCTACCAGCTCTCCAAGGCCAGCTGTTTACTTGGCTGTGGAATCCTCGACAAGCCAGTTACCCTCTGCGATCCCTAAGTTTCTCTGTATGAGAAGCAGGTTATGCTGGCTGGCAAAAGATGTAGCTGGCATCCAGGATCAAGGGCAGACTCTACTCTCCTCACGGCCCTGTTTCCCTGGCCTGGACTCATTCTTCCTTCTCACCTTCCTTTCTCACAGCATCACCCTCATTGTTCTATCATCTGAGGAGGGCACCTCGGAGCTGAGGCTGGAGAGACTACTCCAGATGGTGTTTGGCGCCATGGTGAGACTCCCCAGCCCTCTTCCCCAAACCCAGAAATCTGAGCTCTCAGCATCCTTCTCCCTCACACCAGGAGTCCAGATCCACACCCAACCCCGGCTCTCTTACTTGGTTCTTCTAGGTTCTTCTTGTAGGACTCGAAGAACTGACCAATATCCGCAACGTAGAGAGACTGAAGAAGGAGTTGAGGGTGAGGCTGCAGGCCTCACGTGAGCATGGAAGTTAGGATCCCAGGTCACTGATATTCGGAAACTACAGTTCCCAGGAGCCCCTGGGGCAGCCTGGTCACTGACCCTAGAGCCAGGCCCAGCTGGGCTAGTTTTCTGAAGGGGAGGCAGCAGATCTGGGGCCCACTTGGGTCCTAAGCTCCTCCCTCCTCCCCCTGCTAGGCCAGTTACCACCTCATTGACAGTTTCCTGGGGGACTCTGAGCTCATCGGGGACCTGACCCAGTGTGTGGACTGCGTGGTTCCTCCAGAGGGGTCTCTCCTGCAGGTACTGAGAATGCATTGGGAACCCTTAAACCTGTCACTGGCCCTGGCTCGGCCCTCATCCTCTCACCCCTGGATTGTTGCCTCGACCTTTTCTCCTCCTTTGGGCTTCCATTCCAACCCCCACTTGGCCCCAGAAGGGTCTTTCTACCCCGAGAAATGACCCCCACCCCTCTCCAGCTCACAGCCCTCCCATGGCTTCCTGTCCCCCCAGCCTGGTGTTTGAGGACCTGTGGAATCTGAAACCCACCCACATGCTCACCCTGACCTCTGCTAACTCCACAGTCCACCTTCACCCAGCTGCCTCAGGGGTCCCCTGGACCCCCAACAACTTCCCAACTTCCTTGCTTGGCACATGCTGTTCCTGTTGCTGGTGAATTTCCATCTATCTTTCCTTAAATACTGCTCTTGTTGATTCTCCTGGCATGGCCACCTCTCATGACGTGACTAGGAGCAGGTGACTTGACCTCTCCCAGCTGGAGTAGGTGGTTGATTGCGCCTACTTGACACACAGTAGGATTTAATAAACCGCAGCTGCGGCTGTTGTGATCATTAGCTTCAGTAACACGTGTCAGGCTAGGGAGCAGCCACCCTACCTGTTTAACTTTACAGTGTGACTCGGGGATGGTACCTGCGTGTGAAGGTGAAGGCCCAGGGAGGGTGAGGCATGTGAGCATGCCACTAGGCAAACTTTGAATTGTACGCCCGTCTCTTCACACTCCTCGCCCACCTGGGAAGTCACTGCCGCCCCTGCTCATGTCTCCTGACCCAGGAAGCCCTCTCTGGGTTCGCCGAAGCGGCGGGCACGGCCTTTGGCAGCCTGGTCGTGTCGGGCCGGGTGGTGGCAGCAACAGAGAGCTGGTGGCGGCTGGGGACGCCGGAGGCCGTGCTGCTCCCCTGGCTGGTGGGGTCCCTGCCGCCTCAGGCCGCTCGAGACTACCCGGTGTACCTGCCGCACGGGAGTCCCACGGTGAGTTGGAGGGGGGTCGGGGCGCCTGGGACAGGTGGGAGCGGAGGGCCTAGAGGCCGGGACGCGAGGAGGCGGAGCTCCGGCCAGCCCCTGCTGCGCCCCCCCTTCAGGTCCCGCACCGGCTTCTGACCCTGACGCTGCTGCCGGGCTTGGAGCTGTGTCTGCTCTTCGGGCCGCGCCCTCCCCTCAGCCAGCTGGATCCACAGGTGAATCCGGCCCATGTCCCCGCTTTTCCCCTGTGACACCCTCTGCCCGCCAGCCGCGGCCCTCCTCTCACCCCCCGGCCCTGCCGGCGTTCTCCACTCTTGGCCCGCCCCTCGTCAGCCCCGCCCCTCCACCAGGGCCCGCCCCCCCCCGCGGACTGCGTTCCAATCACCGCCCCGCCAGCCCGGTCCCTCTACCGCTCTCACTCCATCCTTCCAGGCTTCTCCCTTTTCTTGGTCCCCTCGGTCTCCCGCCCTCGTGGGCCCCGCCTCTCCTCCCTGGCCACGCCCCCTGCCCTGGTACCCGCCCCTGACCTCACCCACCGGCCTCGCCTCAGCTTTTGGACCGCTGGTGGCAGCCAGTGCTAGACCCGCTGCGGGCCTGCGTGCCGCTGGGACCCCGAGCGCTGCCCGCTGGCTTCCCCCTGCACATGGACATCCTCGGGTAGGGCTTGGACGGGGGTGTGGGTTGGGGGTCCTCATCCCCTCTGCCCTGGCCATGACAGCCCCCTTCTCACAGGCTGCTGCTTCTCCACCTGGAACTGAAACGTTGCCTCTTCACGGTGGAGCCCTCTGCGGATCAAGGTGACTGAGAGGAGAGTGAGGCCGGGAGGAGCTTGGGCCCAGGAGGGGCTCTCTGTCACCCTCTCTCCCCCCCCCCACCAGAGCCTTCTCCTGAGCATCGTCGGCGCCTCCTGCGCGCCTTCTACACCTTGGTCACCGCCTCACACTTCCCACCAGGTGTGCCCCCTTTGCGCACTCTAGGACACTGAGTCTCCGCTCACCCAGGGGAGGACGGGGGCATCCACACTGATGGGGGGTGTTCCACAGAGCCTAGATGAGGAAGGAAAAGTTGAGGCCCTAAGGAGACAAAGGAGGGCCAGAGGACTGGCCCCTCCTAGCTGCGTGACTCCACCTCCCCCACCTGCTTCCCCGCGTAAAGTGGGATTCCAAGGGCTGTGCCTGGAGTACCTGGTCAGCATACCTGCGTGTCTGTGATCTGTATTGCTAAGCGGACTGTCCAGGGCTGCAAAGAGCATCCCCAGGAGGGAGGGGGGATGGAGGCTGGCTGGGAAGAAGGGGGAGAAGGTCCATGTCCTTCTTCAGGCAACTGACAGCCAGCTGGAGCCATGAGGCCCTTGCCCGTCAGGAGTCAGACTTAGGCCCCGGGGTGTGGTGTTGCTCCTGCAGGTTGGCATTCTGGTTGCCTGGGCCCCACTGGTCACCTTGGCCCTTCCTGTCCTTCCTCCAGAGCCGGGGTCACCAGAGGAGAAGGTGGAGGATGCGGCCCAGAGGAGCCAGGTGCCGAGAGCCTGCTACCTGGTGTCCGGGCCCGAGGAGCCAGGCACGGGATGGCGGCTGGTGGCTCTGCAGTCGGGGCCGCGGCGGCTGCTACTGCTGTCCGCCCAGAGTCCCACCCACGCGCTGCGGGGCTTGGCCACCCACACTCTGCATGCCCTCACCCCACTCCTCTGACACCTGGCCGTGAGCCAGTCCCACACACACAGCTATTAGCGTCTCTCTGTTTATTCGCTCACAATAATACACAGCCCCTGGATGGGGAGGGGGCAGGAGGGGCTACGATGGGGTGGGGTGGGGTGGGAGGGGAGGAGGCGCCCACTTCCCTGGCCCCTCTCCCCTCTGTGCTTAAGGGGGAAAGGGAGGGAGGGGGCTCCCCCTTACCCCCCAGAATGTAAACAGCAGCAGATGAACAAAAATAAAAATACAAAAGGCCGGAGGAAGGTTCCAGGCGTCCCCCCACCCCTGGGGTCTTCCCTGTCACCAGTGGAGGTCCCCTCGCTGCCCCATCCACCAAAGCTGCCTCAGTCCTAGGGGCTGCCCGGCGCCGGCCACATCCCCGGGGGGGGGGCAGAGTCCGGGGCTCAGAACTGCTGGGCCAGCAGCTCACACAGGTGACGGGAGACGGGTTCCTTGCTGGTGCGCAGGGTCAGCCGGTACATCTGGGAGGGGGACATGGCGGTGCAGACTCAGGGAGGAGGCAGAGGGGACAGAGAGCCCGGGAGAGGATGATACAGGGAGATAAAGGAGAAAAGAGGAGAAAGGGATCAGAAAGGTGATGGAAGGGACAGGAGGCAGGAATACAAACAACACAGGAGGGAAAGGGTGAAGGGTAAAAGTGAGACCCGGGAGGGTGGCAAGGATGTGGCGAGGAAGACAGTAGACAGAGGACACGGGGACAAAGAGCAGAAAGGCAGGATTAGAAAGGAACACACTGAGGCAGGGGGTAACCTGTCAGTCTCAGGGGCGCCTCCCAGACCACCACTCACCTGAGCCTGGGCGTTGGGCTCCAGCCGGAGCAGACAGCCCACCTGCAGGGCTTTAGTCTGGATGATTCCAGCCCCCACAAAGTTCTCAGGGTTGGGGTCCACATTGTCCAGGAGAGCAGAGCCAAACCCCAGGAGCTGGGGAAGAAGGGCAGCCGTCAGAGGGTGCCAGATTTGGGAGCCACCGGGCAGTAGCAAACCGGGGTTCCCCGGAAACCCTTGCGGTTCCCATTTCACAGATGGGAAAGCAGAGGCACGGAAAAATGGGTACCGCTCCCCAAACCCCAGTTAGGGATAGGTCGGCCTGGGCTGTGAGTCCAGGGTCCCCTCTCCTGTCTCACCCAGTGGTCACTCACTTTTGCCTTAGTGACTTCTGCATCCATGGGGTGGTTGGCTTTGAAGATTTTCTGCGCCTCCTGTTGGGGGCTGGAGGTGGGGAAAGGTTCGGGTCAGGTGCTTGGAAGGCCCCGCCCCCCCCCAAGCGCAGCTGCAGCTCGGCCCCCCTCGCTGCTCACAGGCTCAGCTGCTTCCAACGCTGGAAGAAATCCTGGGCCGCCATCTCCGTGGGCTGGAAGAACTTGTTGATGGTCACCGGGAGCTTCAGGGTGAGGGACTGGGGGGCACCCCCGTACCTGGCATGGGGGCGGAAGCAAGGAGGCTCCATCAGAGCCCCGCTCCCATTTAGGAGACCGCGGCCGCTCGGCAGGGCCCCGCCCGACTCACCGGAAGCGCACGGACAGGAGCGGGGGCGTCAGGAAGTCCCGCAGACACTCGATGTTGAGCACCTGCTGCACCTGCGCCCCGCCGTCCACCTGTGCGGCCACGCGCTTGGTCTGCACTGCTAGCTGTAGCCGCCGGGGGTCAAGGAAGCCAGAACAAGGCGGCGGCCCCCTACCCCCCGCCGCGGTGGTGGCCATGAACCCCCTGGCTGGTTCCGAACCCCAGCCTGCAGGCCACTGAGGAGCCGTGCCTGCCATCCCGGGCGCATCGTGCAAGGCCCAAACTTCAAAGCCCTTCTTAAGTGAGACCTCCGGCCACCCCCCTGGGTGCCTACTCTGGCCTTTCATGGTGGGCTCAGGGACCTCCATTATGGCACATGTCGCACCATGTTAGGGCAGAAGCCCTTCCGGGGCTGGGATGGCTGACTCGAGTTTGAATCCTGGATCTTACCACCTCGGGGACTCTGGGCAAGCTACTTTACCTCTTAGCCTCAGCTGCAAAATGGACACAGTGTCCTCAGCATTCAGTGAAATAATTCAGCACGCTCACTTGTCCGTGTGTCTGGCACATGGTCAGGGCACCAAAAATGGCGGCAGCGTTACCACATCTACCTTCAAGTTGGCAAGGATGGGGTCTTAGGCATCTCCCGCCCCTGTCCCCCACCCATGCCCAGCACAGAGCTGAGCCCGCCTAGGGTTCTGGAGATGTTGATGAAGGCTGGCTGAAGGAGGCTAAGGACTGAAAAGGTCCTCAAAGCTTTGGGGCCTAGCCCCTGTCATTTTGTGGGCGTGAAATGACAGGGAAAGGAGAACTGACACCTTCCTCTATGCCAGCCACCCTTCCAGAGTTTTCCAACTACACTGACCTTCACAACAATGCTATAAGAGGGAAGAGGATCTACACTTCAGACAGGGAACAGGAAGGCTCAGAGAGGCCAAGTGACTGGCTCAGATCACACAGAAGGCCCTGCTCAGCATCCAGACCTGCAGGCCTGGCTCTTGAATGCAGAAGGCACTGGAATCGTGGGTGTGAAGCCCAGTGGGAGGAAAAGGTCAGGACATGGAAGAGGCCTGACAGGGACAAACTGAGACACACCTATCCCATCACTTCACTGTCCTCAGGCTGTCCTGGGGAGAAGAGGCCCACCCCCGTCTCACAGACGACACTGTGTCTCAAACAAGTAACGCGGGTTCTCAAGAAGACTGAACAGGGTTCTGGACCTGGGTCCATCTGCTTCCCAGTGGCCAGGAAGGCAGACCAGGAGGGTCAGGGCTCGGGGGAGGGGGCTGGGCCAGGCCGGGAGGATATGAGTCTGGAGGTCTCCAGGGTGGACGACCGTGGGTGAGAAGTTCTGGAACTGCACGGACGTCTTGTTGCCATAAAAGAGGTACATGCGGCCTGCAGAGGGTGGGGAAGGGCAGGGCTCCAACTGACTTCCTTCAACCTCCTCTCCAGATGCCACCCAAACCCAGGTGTCCCCGAAACCCTATCCCCACACCAGCCCCGTCTGGACGCACCCAAGTTCTGCCGGAACTCCGACTTGACTCCAATCTGCAACAGCTGGTTCTCAAACAGGACCCCATTATTCTTGCACACGAACCTGGGTGGGGGCGGCAGGGAGCTCAGGATGCCAGCGGTGCCTGTCTGGGCCCATCGCAGGGCTCGCCACCTGTCCCCATTCCCTCCCTGATCTTTCCCATGACTCACTTATTCAGCAGCTCATCGGCTTCTGGGATGGGCGGCCCGATGTCCTCAGGACCCGGGCTGCAGTGGGGAAAGCAGTGAGATGGGAAGAAGTTGGGGGGCTAGAGGAGACCCAAGCTAAAGGTGGGAGACAGTAACCCCTCAAAGGACAGAACCCCAGAATCCACAGACCCAGAACCCAGATTCCCACAAAGAACCCCAGAATCAGACTGGCGGCTGCCTGTAATGGGAACAGGACCCCGGTGTGTGCCACCACCCCTGCCCCATGTCAGAGGACCCCGACTTTCACTCCCCTCCAAATCTTTGCCTCTGCAGCTCATCAGGAGCCCCTTGATAAGAGCCTGAAGTCCCCTAACCCTCCCTGGGGACAAAGATCTGCCCCCCCAACCCTGAGGCCACCCCTTACTCAGCAGCTGGAGCTGGGTCAGCCAGCAAAGCCATGGGGCTCTCAGGGGCAGGCGGCTCCAGCTCGCTGGGCCATCCAATCCCAGAGCAGACAAGAGAAGACAGGCGTGGCAGGCAGCCAATCCCAGAGAGGCAGCAGAGGGCCGGGGCGGGGGGGGGGGGGGGAGAGAAAGAGGGAGGAGGGAAAGAGAGAAGGAAAAGCAGGCTGAGACACGGCGATGGGGGAAGGACAACACAGGGTGGCCAGGGTCGGCCGAGAGTCCAGAGTGGCCAGAGGGAGAGAGGAGGCCGGGGGAAGTGGCAGCCACGGCGACAGAGGCACAGGGACAGGGAGGGAGGAGGGGGCCGTGAGGGGGCAGATGGAAAAGGGGCAGCCCAGGGGCCCCGGCCGGTGGTACCTGAGGAAGGCCTCCTCGGGGGTGGGCCCCAGGCTGGGCTGGGCAGCCGGGCCGTCGGAGAAGACATCCACCAGGAGGTTCCCTGCACCCGAGGTCGCTGGGGGTGCGGCTGGGGGAGGGGCTGCCCGCAGCCCCAGGAGGTCGGCAGAGGGCGAGGGCGTCGACTGCAGGGAGGTGCAGGGGGACGTGAGAAGGGGCAGCACCCAGCAGCCCCAGCCCCGATGGCCCAGCCCCTGGGACTCACCACAGTGCTAGGGGTGGGCTCCACGCCCCCATTGATGTCATTGCTGCTGGGGTCCCTCCGGCCATCATCCAGGGCGCTGCCGGCCCCGGGCCCCTTCTTGCGTTTCAGCTTGGCCAGGATGGACGACTCTCGCTCCGGGAAGGGCGGCATCTCCTCCAGCACTGTGGCCTGTGGAGTCAGAGGGCGAGAGCAGGTCGGGGGCAGCTCGGTGGCAGGGGAGAGGGCGGCCAAGGTGCAGGGGTGGAGGAGGGGCACGCGGGGGCCGCAGCGCTGACCAGGACGTCCGTGCTGGCCACTGAGCTGAGCGTGAGGTACTCGACGGCGCGCTGCTGCAGCTCCACGTCAGCGTTGCGCAGCTGGGAGCCGGCCCGCAGCACGCCCTGGATGGTGGCCTTGGTCTCCGGGAAGAGGTTGATGAACTTGATGTAGGTGGACAGCAGCAGGGCCCGGGTGGCCACGCTGCACAGATGGAACTTCGAGTGCAGCAGAGAGAACTGCACTGGGGGGCTGGGGAGGGCGGGGGGGGCATCAGCATGTGGCTCCCCTGCCTCCTCCCGGGAGTGCCGCCCCGGCAGAGGCCACCCAGGACGGTGGCCCTTGCAATGCTCTGTCCTAGGAGCTCCTGGAGGCTCCTGGGAGCTGGGTTGTCTTGCAACAACTGGATGGTTGTGCGAGGGGCTGAGAGGATCCCCAGGGGCCCCGTCACCACCAGCCCCGCACCCCTCAGAAGTGCATGTGTTTACCGCCTCACCTGGAGCGGGGGTCCCCAGCGATCAGATTCCCAAACTCCCCGAGGATGTAGCCGCCGACCTTCACCATGTTCTCATGGCAGGCGGGGGCCTGGAGCGCCTGGAGGCAGGGACAGGGCGGGTGAGGGCAGCAGGGAGCGGTGTGCCCTGACTTAGGATTGCTCAGGGGTGCCAGGTGCAGGGCTAAGCCTGTGACGCCCATTAACCTGTGGAACTCTCATGAACGCTACGACGTGGGTGGAATAATAGGTGGGGAAACTGAGGCACGGACCAGTTAAGTGACTGGCCTCTGCTCACACAGGTGGTAAAATCGGCGGCACCAGGCCCCCTTTCCTGGGGCAGGAGTGGGAAACCACCGGGACATGCAGATCAGTGACTACGCACTGGACGGTCCACACCCACGGCCCGCTGACCCTCACACTGGCCTGTGAGGACCCGGCCCCCGGGTCCCTTGGTGGCCCAGGGAGGCCAAGGCACTGCTCCGAGGAGGAGGGAGCAGGACGGTGGCCACAGTGGGCTGGCCCCACAGCCCCAGCCGTCCTTGTTCTGCCTCACTGTCCCACTGCGGGGGTGAAGTGGGGGTGCTGACCTCAAAGACGGTCTTGGCAGCGTAGCCCTGGACGTCATCACGGTTGGTGACGATCTGCAGCACACGGTACCACACCTCCTCACTCACGTAGTCGCCCGCAATGCGGATGAGGTTGAGGATGGTGTCCACGTACCAGCTATAGTCTACTGCGTACTTCTCGGCCAGGATGGCCACCTTCAGAACCTGCCAGCCGGGGAGGGAGGACAGTCAAACTGGAATAACCAGATCTGGGCTCACCACCGTCCCCATCTGGAGACCCCACGAGGCTCGGCCCCCAGCCCCTCCTCCCTCAGACCCAGAAGTCCAGGTGCTCAGCTCCTCCCGGAACTTACAATCTCCTCACGGATGGCATAGTCAGCCGTCTCCAGGTACCGAAGCATTTCTGACACGATCTGCTTGGCGTTGCTCCGATCACACATGGCATAGAGGAGGTCAGCGGCCCGCTGTCGCACACTGACGTCCCGCTCCGTCTGAGGGAGGAGAGCAGGTGCAGTATGTCCTAGGCTCTGCAATGGCCTCTGAGCCCTGCACCTCTCTGAGGGAGCAGAGACACAGGCCAGCGTACGGCGCCTGGCCTGGGGCAGGCTCCAACATGGCATACCTTGAGGGCGTTGATGACAGTGTCGATGTGGGTCTTGACCGCCTCGTGGGAGAACTCGGAGCTGGCCAGCGTGCACATGCTCTCCAGGGCCAGGTAGCGCAGGTTGGTCTCCCGGTGCTGCAGGAACTGGCCCAGCTGGTTACAGGCCCGCACCAGGAGGTTGGGCTCACTGCCAACAAGCAGCAGAAACAGGGGGACGTGAGAAGGTGGAGGACGTGGGCCCAGCTGACCCATCCCACACCACCTTCAGGACCTGAGTCTTAACTCTTGCCCTCCGTTCCCATCATGACCATTCCTGGCGACCCAGACATCTGGGCCGTTGGGCCCAAATGAAGAGAGTCGGGAATTCTGCTTTTTCCAGGAGGGGTCCAGCACCACTCTGGGGAGGTAACAGATCACAGCTTCATCGTCCTCCTATCTCGAAGTCACGATTCCCAGCACTATTCTCCTAGGATGCAGGAGTCCAGGTCCCCAGGCCCCAGCCCCCCCAGGCAGGCACCTGTCGTAGTGGATGATGAGGCTGATGGTCTCGAAGAGGATGGCATTCTTGGCGTTGGAGTGCTGGACCTTCTTGGACTTGGGGGGCTCCTGGGCCTTGTTGAGCACGGTCTCCAGACACTCCACCAGCCGCCCCTTCACGGCAGCATCCTCTGGGGAAATGGAGGGCATGTTCCAGGATAAGCTCTCTGCCAGCCCTGCCCATGTGCGGGGCAAGGGGCCACCCCGGGGCTCTCATCTTCCACAGGACGTGTGGGCCCTGCAGCTGTGGGCTGGGGTCTCTGATCCTTCAAGCTCATCCTCGGTCTCTTGGTGACTGGGGGAGGTGGCAGCAGGCCAACAGAAGAGAACACTCCAGACCTCGGCTCTTGTCCTGCTCAGTGCTGACTCCCACCTGTGAGCCTCAGTTTCCCCTTCTGCAGCACTGATACCCTTTAGGTTTCTCACAGAGCAAAGAAACCTTCCCCAGAGACGCTGTGAAACCTGGGTCTCCCCGAGGAGCAGTCTGAGCACCTGAGACAGATACACGCCAACCAGGAGCTCACACCAACACCAATAACTGACATTCCGTGGGGTGCGAGGTAACAACATGTGCATAGAACGGCTGTCAAGTGTTCTAGAGGAAAATGTCACACCCGGATGTATCAGGCGGCTCTCGGGGTAGAGGGATAAACTACAGGACACAAGGCAGCTCTGAGCCAAATCCAGAATACGGGACACGCTTGTAACGCCAAACTGTTCCAGTTTCTTCAAAAACAGGTAGTGGGGTGGGGGGGGTGGGAGGACTATTCCAGACCCCCCAAAAGGGACAAAGACATAATGAAATCTAAGTCGTGGCCCTCAATTGTACTGTATTTTGTTTAAGCCATAAAAATAAAGCTGTGGACAGTGAACGGGGTGTGGATGGTGCCTGGACAGCAGATGACACTGTGATCTTGACTCTTCTCAGGTGTGACAAGGGCACTGTGGTTTTGTGCAGTGTTCTTGGGTCTCATGAAATGTGTGTGGGTGTATTTTAGGTGGGCGGAGCATTATGCTGTCTGCAACTTATGTCAAGTAAGTGAGCAAGTAAGAGTGTGTCTGAGACAGCAAGCCAATCGGGGTGCCAAGAGCAGCACTCATGGTCTCCGCAGGGTCTCAGGGGCCTTGCGTGTTCATGACACTGTTCTTGCAAGTGATCTGTTTGAAATTTTTCATAATAAAAAGGTGGGGTGAGGGGTGCCTGGGTAGCTCAGTCGTTAAGCGTCTGCCTTTGGCTCAGGTCATGATCCCAGGGTCCTGGGATCGAGCCCCGCATCGGGCTCCCTGCTCAGCGGGAAGCCTGCTTCTCCCTCTCCCCTTGCTTGTGTTCCCTCTCTCACTGTCTCTCTCTCTCTCTCTCTGTCAAAATAAATAAATAAAATCTTAAAAAAAAAAAAAAGATGGGGTGAAAGCCAATGGCACAGAATAAAGGGGCAATTCTTCCAGATTAAGACAGAGTTTTATGAGAAATAATTAAATTCGACACTTGTATCTTTCTTTTTCTTCTTCTTTTTTCTTTAATTTTTATTTTTAAGTAATTTCTGTGCCCAATGTGGGGATCGAACCCATGACCCTGAGATCAAAAGATGGGTGCTCCACTGACTGAGCCAGCCAAGCCTCCCTCAATACTTGTATCTTGAGGGGCGCCTAGATGGCTCAGTTGGTTAGGCGTTTGACTCTTGATTTCAGCTCAGGTCATGGTCTCAGGGTCATAATATCGAGCCCTGCATTGGGGTCCGCACTCAGCAGGGAGTCGGCTTCTCTCTCTCTCTCCTTCTGCCCCTCCCCCTGCTCCCTCTAAAATAGGTAAATAAATCTTTTTAAAAAAAACATTAAAAAAAAATACTTGTATCTTGATTGGATCCCAGTCTGAACAGCCTGTGAGTATTTCAGGGCTAATTAGGAAAATCCACAGTGGATCTTTGAGACCACTGGGGAGCTGTTGTGAGCCTCAAGCATGACCACAGAATTGCTGCTGTGAATAAAAGCGCCCATAGTTTTTAGAAATGCGCAACAAGATATTCAAAGATAAAAACATCATGATGTCTCTAACTCATTTTTAAATACTTCAGAAAAAAAGCAAACTGAGAGCACGCATGCACAGCAAAATGTGAAGTCTGGACGACGGGTGCGCTCTACTTGTCTGGACGTTAGAGAATTTTTCATAATACAGCATCGGAAAAATTTCTCGTGGATAGATCGGAGGTGGCCTCGCTGGGCCAGCACTGTTTGCTCGGGGCCACAGCTATAATTCCTGACGCAGAGGCTGAGAGCAGGCGAGGTGCCTGCTCTGCGCACAACCCAAAATGATGAGGCGGGACTCCTGCGATGGAAGTGAGCTTAGAGATGTGCCCGAGCTCTTCCCTACAGGGTAAGAAAGAGGCCCAGAAGGGGAACAAGGCTTTCCCAAGGCCACGTGACAAAATTCACCGCTGGCTTTCACAGGCTGGGAAGGGCCTCTGGTGTCACTTCCATTATACAGTCTATTAGTGTGTGCACACGCACACACACTGGCACACGTGCACACACAGACGTGCACACGCAGTCATGCGTTCACAGATATGCACATGTGCGCACACACACGCTCGTGCACAGCTGCCTGTGAACACTCAGGGCCACACCTCAGTCCCTGACCACAGCAGGTGCTCGGTACCCTGGCTGAACGGAAGGGAGCTGGTTTATCAATCACCTACTGTGTGCTGAGCACCTCAGCACGGGGTCCCTCCAAACTGCTCTGTGAGGTCAGACGGCTGAGGAAATGGGAGCTCAGGGGGAGCCAGGGCCTATGGGGTAGAGGGAGGGACTTGGAGCCAGATGCTGGCATCAGGCTCCGTCTCTTAGTCGCTGCCTGGGCCTGGACACGTGACGTCTCATCTCCAAGCCTCAGGCTCCCTGTCTGCATATTACAGGGATGGCTCCCCCTCACTAGCCCTGTCGGGAGGGCACAGACACCCCTGGTGTGTTACCTGCTTACGCTAGGCTCATCATCCCCACGAATGGCTGTGACCTTGAGCAATAAGGTCATGAAAATCTCGCACAGAGCTATGCTCATTCAAACAGCACAGCCTGGAATCATCCCTTGATCTGCTGGGGATCTCGGGGACCCTGGGCAAGGACCTCCCCTCCCCCAGCCTTGGTTTTGTCGTCTATAAGGCAGGTGTGACAAAAGCCCCTATGTTACAGGGCTGGAGCAAACACAAGCGTGGCTTCACAGGGACCCTGGCCCACAGCAGATCCATGAAGCACGATAATCTGTCCGATTCTTTGCGCTGCCCCCCAACACCTACAGCCTCACAGAAACCCTGGCAGGCCTCAGGCCCCAGGCCCCAGGCCCCAGGCCGGGTGGGCTCGGCGGTACCTGGCGGTGGGTAGCACTGTAACAGTCGCAGGAGTTTCACCGAGAGCCAGGGCGCCGGGACGAAGTAGTAGGTGTAGTCCTGGAGGTCGGTGGAGGCCGAGGAGACAATCTGGGGGCGGAAGAGGGGGTGAGGCATGGACAGGGAAGGGCATGGGGCAGGGGCAGGGCAGAGCCCCACTGTATTCCGAAGGGTGTGCAGGAATCTGAGGCCCCGGGAGGGGAGTGAGGAGGCCTGGAGCACACAGCGAGCGACCTAAGCCAGGGCTCCCGACTTTTGCATGTAATGCTGCTGTCAGGAGGGGAAGTCTCTGCCAACCCGAGTCCCTTCTGTGAGCCCCTTACTCCAAACAGGAGCTCCGCAACGCTCTGGGCTCCTCCACAGAACACAGATCACACCAGCTCACTGCAGACTTGTGCCCCTGTAGCGGTCCCCCCACAGCTGGAAGCAGCTCAGGGGTTAGGAACTGGCTCTGACCCTTTTCTGGGTTCCCAGGCCTAGTACAAGATCGGACATAAGAAAGGCTCGGGAAAGAGGTGGGGACTTAGCAGGAGACTGCGGGACTTTTTTCCTTATGCAAAACTCCTGCTGAAGCTGGGAAATCCCTCCTCCAGGAAGCATTCCCATGTACCACGGCCACGATGGCGTGTGCCGGCCCCCAGGGTCCCCCGTCCGTGTCTCCCCGACCAGCCCGGCACGCAGGAGCTTTCAGCTGTATGGTGAATGGATGACAAAGTGACTGAATGAGCTGGTGTGTTTGTTCTTTTTGCTTGCGAATCCAGGCCTCTCCTGACCCTCCCAGGAAGTGTTTATACTCACTCCGAGTCTCCATTCAGGGATCACCTCTCCCAGGAAGCCTTCCTAGACTTCCAGGCTGGGGTAAGTGCCTCCTTTGGGGTCTACACTGCCCCGTACTACCTCCGTGACATCCCAGATCATCCCTTTTATGAAAAGCTTTGCCAGTCGGCCTGCCCTGCCGCATCTCCCTCCCCCCGAACAGGACAGGGAGCTCCTGGAGGGCTCAGGTCTGACTCATCTGTGTCCCCAGAGCCTGGTACACAGGCGGCCTCAGGGTTTGTTCCCAAGGGGCGAAGGTGGTAAGAGGAGCAGAAGGAAGGACAGAAGGGAAAGGTTTGAGAAAGAGGCACAGGAGGAACAGCAGGGAATGCAGGAGGAAGCAAGAGACAGTGAGGTAAGGGGGAGGAGATCAGGACAGCCCCTCTCACCTGCTGGGTGCTCATGACACCCAGGCCCATACTGACATTATACAGACTGAATGCCAGCAGCTACACTGTGAGCTGGGCACTGGTATTGTCCCCATTGAACAGATGGCGTCAGTGAGGCCCAGAGAAGTGAAGCCACTTGTCTGGGGCCACACAGCCAGGAAGTGGCAGAGCCAGGATGAGCCCAGCTCAGAGGCTGAGTTCATTACCACTGTGTGGGGCTGCCTCTGAAGGAGAGTGAGGGGGACCAGGGAGTCGTTCCAGGCGACAGAGATGCCAGGGCCATCTCCCACAGCCTATGACAAGACCACACCCACCCGGCTCAGGCGAGACACAGCCAGGGAGATGCACGTCTTGAAGTCGTCCGGGTTCTTCTTGCAGAGACAGGTGATGAGACTGACAGCGGCCGTGACCACACCCTGCAGAGGCAGACAAGTGGAGGGTCAGGGCTGTGGGGGGAGGGTCAGCCTGGAGACAAGTGTCCAGGCTGCAGATCTGAAAGCAGAGACTCAAGGGCTAGGTGGGTGATGGGTGTTGGGGACAATGGACAGGATCCCTGGGCAGTCGGGGGTGGGGGGGGTAATCAGGGATGGACATGGGGGTTTCTGGATACTTGAGGGGGTGACAGGTACTCAGGACACTGGCCCAAGATCTCTAGGTGCCTGAATAAAGGCAGGGACAGAGGTGGGGGGCCCTGGGCATCCAGGTGGGAATCAGGGCGGGGGTGGGACACTCCCTGGGCTCCCACATGAGCGTCCAAGGCAGAAGGGTCTCTGGGTGAATTGGTGGGGGTGGCTCTGGGAGGCAGCAGCCCAGGGTCTCTGGGCGCCAGGCCCAGGGCTCACCATGTGCTGGTCGTTGAGCAGGTGCACCACCCGGGCTGTCCACTCGCCCATGGGCACTAAGTCGGGTGAGGCCTTGTACAGCCGTAGTAGGCACAGGGCCGCGCTCTGTTTCACGCTGTCCATGCTGTCCCTGTGAGGACACAATTGGGTGGGGGGAGGTCAGCGCGACCCCAGCCCCACAGAGACCTTCCCTCCTCTACCACTCCTCCCAGGAAGGGCGGCTAGCAGCAGGTGGAGAGAGCCAGAGGGACCAGGGATCCAATCTGGTGCTGCCTCATCACCCACCAAGCCTCAGTTATTTTTTATCTGCAAAATGGGTTCCATCTCAGTAACCTTTGGGTCACTGGCAGAACTACACAAAACGTCCAGCCTGCCTGTGCACCTTCATTCATTTACCAAACACTTTCCTGAGCGCCTCTGGGCAGCAGGCTCTGCTGGAGGCGCTGTGGATAGAGGGGTGGACAGACTGGTCCAAACGTCTGTCCTCACAGAGCTTACCTTCTAGCCAGGCAGCCCGTATCTCAGCACACACACCAGACCCTGTCCGGCTTCAGTGCTATGGCGCCAATGAGCGCAGGTGCAAGGAGCACTAGGCATGCTGTTTTGCAAGAAGGCCTCTCTGATGAGGTGGCAGGTGAATGGAAAACTGAGTTTAATGAGAAAAACCCCCAAAATCTCTGCCCGAAACATCCCAGGGAGAGGGCACAGCCTGTGTGGAGGCCCCGAGGCGGCCACGGGCCTGTGTGTGGCTGCCGTGAGTGAGCGAGCAGTGGAGGGGAGAAGCCGGGAGATTGGGCAGGGGGCCAGGGGGCCAGACCATGCCGGGCATCGAGGGCCATGGTGACGGCCCTGCTTTTACCCAGGGGGAGATGGAGCCACTGCCGGTGACGAGCAGGGAAGCACCAGCGCTGGGGTGACAGCAGGAAAAGCACCAGCACTGAGCCAGGCACCCTCCGGGACGAACTCATTGATCTCTTCACGACAAACCGAGGAACCGGGGCCAGACGCGTGGGTTTGAGGTCCTGACTGGTGGAGCATGCTGCGGGGGGAGCCACTGATTCTCTCCAATGGGCGGTTTCCTCCTCAGGAGGATTTGGGGGGTGAAGAAAGGACACCGTGGACCGGAAGCTGGCATGGCCTCGGACACAAGAGGGGGCACGGGGAGCTGTCCTGACCACCCAGGCTGCAGCCTCCAGGTCCAGGGTTTCCCGGAGAGGACCCAACCAAAGCCTGGGCAAAGGACACAGAGGGAAGTCCCAGGAGGAGTGACCTCCACAAGTCAAAGGCCAGGTGAAAAGCCGTTTCGCTGGATGTGCAGGAGAAACACGAATGGCGACAAGGCAGTGCTGCTATTTCCTCCCGCCAGCCAGGCAGACACAAGCCAGCCAGGCCTCGGATACAGCTGCCCTCGAGGAGACGCGGGGACAGGCCCTCAGAAGAGGAGCGGGGCAACCCTGGGTCGGTGTGCCGCTGGGAGTGATGTGGGCCAAGCCCAGCGAGGCTGCTCCTGGACACCCCCCCTGGGGGTGGGCAGGCGTGCGTGTTGAAGGTGACGGTGCGAGAACGTTTGCTGACTGACCGTCATCAACTTAAAACCAAAACGAGTGGAAGGTCTGTCCGAGACCAGTGGAATGGTGCTGCATTAATGGTCTTCACCATCGTCACAGCCCATGGCACGAGTCCTGACCCCGGGCCATGCTCTGTTCTAGGTGTTTCTCCAGCCCTCGAGGGAGGTGACCCCTACCATCACCTCCAGCTATGGGTCAGGAAACGCCCTCCGTACACCAAATGGAGGAATAAGGGCTATTTATCACCTTGGTTAACTTAACCGGAGACTGTGCAACTATTTAGGTAAAGCTTGAAACTACGGAACGCAGGGCGTGTGCCCAGGTATAAAAGGACAGGGAGGTACATGGGAATAATGACCATCGAATGCAGGACACGGGGAGCGAGGGGAAGATGGAGATGATGTGGGGGACGGGACGGGGGAATTCAACCATTTCCTTCCTTTAAAAAAAAAAAAAAGCTGTGATACCACAGGACCCAGCAATTCCACGCACAGGCGTCTACCCATAAGAACTGAAAACAAAGTTCACACAAGGTATTTGTACATCATTCACAAGAGTCAAAAGGAACCTTTCTGACGAGTGGATAACTAAAACACAGTCCCTCCAGACAGCAGAATATTATTACCAGGCCATAAAAAAGGACGGAAGGACAGCTCCATACAACATGGAAGAACCTCGAAAACGTTATGCCGAGGGAAAAGCCAGACACAAAAGGCCACTTATCGCATGCTTCCATTTATCTGTAATGTCCAGAATAGGCAAAACCGACGAAACACAAAGCAGATGAGTGGCTGTCTGGAGCTAGAGGGAAAGGCAATGGGGAGTGAGCTACTAATGAGTATGGGCTTCTTTTTGGGGTGATTAGTGGTGGTGGCCGCACAACACTGTGAATATACTAAAGACCACTGAATTGCACCCTGTAAACTGCTGACACAGTGAACTTGACGTCATGTGAGTTTTATCATAATTAAAAAAAAAATCTACCTAAAAAAATATATTGCTCTGTGCCCCAGGCACCGTCAAGGCCAAGTTTCAGGTGCCGAGAGAGGCCAGCAGAGCGCTCAGACAACCCCAGCCTGGCCCCCGATTCTGGCAGGGCACAAGCCCTCAGCGCCCATTCCCTGGTGTGAAACTGGGCGTCACCTCGGCTCAGACGGGTCTGTCACACTGGCCTCCTTCTTGGCTTCTCCGCGCTCAGGGTGGCCGGCAGCCTTGCCACGACTGACCACTCTGTCCTCGGAGTTTCTTCGGGTTCCGAGCCACAGCCCACTCTGCATTTCCCTCCCATCTCCCTGGCCAGACCTGGACACGCTGGGCCGCCCCGCGGCTTAGCCTTAGGTCACTTCTCATCCCTTCTCATGTCTTCCCCGAGGGACTTCATCCGGCTGCGGCTTTATTACCATCCGTCCCACGCTGTCCCGTATGGTGGCCCCAGCCACACACGGCTACTGGACACGGGACTCGAGGCCAATCCAAACTGAGCGATAACGTGTGTGTACGGTTACACTCACATGTGGGGGTGACATGAACGATTATCGGGCAATTTTCACGTTGATCCAGTGTCAAAATGAAAATATTTTAGATGGACCGGGTTAAATTAAAATATTAAAAGAAGTTTCACCCGTTTGTTTTTACTTTGTCTGATGTGGCGACCAGAACTGTGGAGGGTGTGTGTGGCTCGAGTTCTATTTTTAGCACTCTGTGCCTGTCTCTCCCACACTCCCTCTGCGGCCCCAACTCCCTGCCGTCCAGCCGCCTACTGGACGTTTCTGCCCACATGTCCACCAGGCACCTCATACCCAGCGCGGCCAAACCTGGCTCAGGGCCTGCCTCTCACTTCCCTGCTTCTCCCCAGGCTTCATCATCCGCCCATTCGAGCCCACCCTCTCTTGCTTTCCCAGCCCCTGTAATCCGTCCCGTCGGCTTCTCTCCTGAAACGCACCCAGTGACGACCTCTACGGCTACAACCCTGGTCCCAGCCACCGTCAGCTCTGACCTGGACGGCAGCGGACGGCTCTCCCTGCCGCCATCCCCACCCCAGTCTCCAGTTCTACCTGAGCTACCTGATTCCGAGGATCAGCCTCTTTCATTGGTTCTGGGATATTCTCAGGCGTTAGCCGTTCAAACAACGCCTCTGTCACATTCTCTCTTCCCAGAGCTCTAAAGTTTTTTGAGTAATCCCTACACCCAACATGGGACTTGAACTCACGACCCTGAGATCAAGAGTCGCACATTCTACTGACTGAGCCAGCCAGGCGTCCCTCTAAAGCTCTAAATAGTGTTACGTTAGACCTTCTCCATCTTCCATGACTCTTCATCTCTCTTGGAATGTTCCATCTCTGTTTCTCTGGGCTGCATCCTCATTACTTTCTTCAGTTCTACCTCCTGTTTACTAACTCTGCTTTGGCTCTGTCTATCCTGCTGCTAAGCCAGACCGCTTAAATAAATTTCTCCATTTCTTTTTCAAATCTGCTTACACTTCTATTTTTAAATTTTCTCAGTTACTGAAACATATTAAACATGCTTATTTTACATCATATATGAATATTCCAATTCAACTGTTACGTTCAGTTTCCTTTCTGCTGGTTCTCCCTCATGGTGTTGTGTGGCCTGTGTTTAGTGATTTTTGACTGAGCGTTACTCATGTAACTTAGAGCTTCATCTGTGGTGAAGGCAGGCTTCTCCAGAAAAGCCTTGTTTGCTTCTGTCAGGCACTGGGCTACTACTAGCTTAAATCACTTTCAACTAAAGTTTGGCTTAAGAATTTGTAGATTAGGGCGCCTGGGTGGCTCAGATGGTTAAGCGTCTGCCTTTGGCTCAGGTCATGATCCCAGGGTCCTGGGATCGAGCCCCACATCGGACTCCCTGCTCAGTGCAGAGCCTGCTTCTCCCTCTGCCATTCCCTCTGCTTGTGCTCTTCTGTCTATCTCTCTGTCAAATAAATAAATAAAATCTTCAAAAAAAAAAAAAAAAAAGAATTTGTAGATTAACCCAGGTAGGGAAAAATCAGGCTGAAAACCAGTGTGTGGGCTGCTCTGCGCCAAGGTTTGAAACAGGTAATTTTGCTTATAGTCCCCAAGGGGATTTATTTCTAGGTCACCCTCACTTTGAAGTGTGGTTTCTGGAGCCTCTCCTCAGACAAGCTTTGTATCCTGTTCCCAGAGGCTGCAGGGCCCCCAAACCAATATCTAGGTTCACCCTCTAAGCAAAATCTGGCTTTGGCCCTCTGCCCATCTCCCCAGGTGCCAGGCCCCTCTTAGCTTGCAGCCTGTATGCTCCTAATTCTCTCACTAACTCATGAATACACTGAACAATACTCCCTTTCCTCTTTTATCCTATATTGTTAGGTTTCAGTGAGAGCATTAGTCAGGAATCTAGTCCACCATGTTGCCAGAAATATAAGTCATACCTTCTCCCATACCAAGCTGAGTGATCTTTTAAAAATACAAAGCCAGGGCGCCTGGGTGGCTCAGTCGGTTAAGCGACTGCCTTCAGCTCAAGTCATGATCGCAGGGTCCTGGGATCGAGCCCCGCATCAGGCTCCCTGCTTGGCGGGAAGCCTGCTTCTCCCTCTCTCACTTCCCCTGCTTGTGTTCCTCCCCCCGCCCCCCCGTCAATTAAATAAATAAATAATACAAAGCCAATCAAGTCACGTGCCTACTTAAAACACACGAACTCCTCCCATTTCAACTACAATAAAATCCAAACTCCCCTTACTCTGTCTCTTGTTCACTGCCTTCCAGCCACAGAGTATCTCTTGTTTCCTTGAATATAGAAAGCTCGTGCCTCAGGGCCTTTGTACTTGTTGCTCCTTTTGCTTGGGACACTCTCCAACATTTTAAAATAACTATCTTCTCATCATTCCAGTCTCAATTACAAGTCACCTTCTTGGAGAGACCCTCCCTGATGAGTGTATTTAAGTAGCTTCTACCACCTCTCACCCCGTTGCCCCCCACTACCCAGTTTTGTTTTCTTCATAGCATTTATTCCTATCTGAACTCATCTTACTTTTTATGTATATGTTTGCTCTTTGGGTATCCTCTCATGTAAGCTTCCTGTAAGATGTAAGCTTCCTGACGGTGGGCACAATAGTCCTTGCTTCTCTTTCCTGCCTCCCCAAACCCATGAGAGTGCCCAGCACACTGCAGGTACTCAAAAAATATTTGATGAATGACCTCCTGCCTCAGGATGATCACACAGGCTGACCCCAGTGCCTTCCATGCCTTTGCCCTCTCCACAGCCAACGACTCCTCCTCACCCAGGTCTCAGCCTGATGCCACTTCCTCTTGGAAGCCCTCCCTGATCCCCCAGACTAGGTCAGGCATCCAACTAAATGTCCTTATGGGCTCCTGTGCCCCACGTCATGGTTCCAAGAGGAACTGTGTATTTCACCCTGCAGTTATTCAGTCAATGTTTATTTCCCACTCTGGCCCATGAATGCTTGGGAAGACGATGACCATGTCCATTTCTGGTCATGACTATATTCCTAGCAATCAGCACAACACTTTGCACACAACAGATGCTCAACAAATGTTTGAGCGAATGACTCGAGATGCAGAAGTTCCAGAGGGCTGTTGCCAACAGAACTTACGGTTATCACCTCTTTTATACTAGATCTTCAAGGTCAGTTAATCCGACAGACACCCCATTGGATCTTTTGGGGGCTGCGTCACACCACTGAGTCGGGTCGGAGAGAAGAGAAAGAACCATAGGGCTGCCAACAGAATCTAAGCCCCGTGTTATCCCCACCTCCTGGCTAGAGACCTTGGGCAGGTGACGCAATCTTCTGACCCTCGCACTTGGCTAGGCCTCGTCTATTCCGTTCCAAACCCCACCCCACCTGGGTCCCCGGTGCCTCACCCAGCCACCAGGATGCGTGGGATGTCAGCGGCAAAGGCCTCGCCCATCTCACGGCTGCCCACATTGGCGATGCAGTGCAGGGCCAGGCACATGAAGGTCGGGTTGCGGCTGGCCAGGTCGTTCTTGATGGCGTTGTTGATGAGCCGGATCAGCTCGGAGTTTGAGTTCACCAGAACCGAGATGAAGAGGTAACCCTGGGTGAGAAAGGAGGTTGGGGGGGGCTGGGAGCCTTGTGGTTAATGGGTCGTAGGCCCCAATCCTCCCACCCTGGAGTCCGTACTTCCAGCCCCATCCTCCCGCTCAGACCCAGGAGTCCAGGCCCCCAGCCCTTCCTCCCCAGACTCACTATCTGCTTCTCCGTGTACTTGTTGGAGCTGAGCAGGTTCACGGCCTCCATGTGCCCAAAGTCAATGTCGTGGCCAAGCAGGAAGATGAACAGCAGTTTACACACATATTTTTTCTTACTGTAGCCATCCAAGGCTTTGTCCCCTAGGGCCAGAGGAAGGAGGAAAGGGGAGACAGATGAGGAAGGGTCCTACCTGTGAGTCTCAAGTATCCCAGTTCCCAGCCCCCTCCTCCCTCAGACCCAGGGGTCCGGGCCCCCAGCCCCCTCCTCCCTCAGACCCGGGAGTCCGGGCCCCCAGCCTACCTTTGAACTTCGAGCGGATATTGGCCAGTTCCTTGTTGATTCTCTTAATCTCTGCCTCTTTGCTCTTACCTGGGCAGGAGAAGGCGGGGCAGGTGATGAGGGTCCCAGACAGTTGAACTACCTGTGCTCTCTTTCCTTGGCAAGGCCCCTCCCAGCTGGAAGGGCATAGTCCCTCCACCCAGGGGCCCTGGGCCCTGGGGCTGAGGCCAAGCCTGGGCCCCATCTCTAGCTGGGAGCTTCACAGAGGTGACAACCATGGCTCATTGGTCTTTCTAACCCAGAGACGGCTGGCACACACTATGAGGTGACCCCGGACTTGCCCCCTCCTTCCTCCCCTCACTGTGGTCCCTGCACTGTACTGGCCCTGGGGGCTCCGGTCTCCACCCACAGCTCTGGTTACGCCTCCACCACCAGCCCCCAGAACTGGCCTGGCAAGAAATATGTGTCAAGGGAGGGAGGGAAGGAGAGAGAGAGGGAGGGAGGAAGAGCTCAGCTGCCTTCTAGCTGTCCCCCAGGACCCTCACCCCTACGACGTCCCCACTGACCTGCTCCAGTGTTATGAAGTCGCCAGGCCAGACCTTTGGGTGAACTCGCCCCCTCTCTTCCTATCCCTCCTTACAGCCTTCAGTCCTCGGCCGCCAGGCCCACAGACCCACTTCTTCCATCTCCTGGCTGCCAACCTCTCCCGAACTCATCTGCGACATTCCTACACTTCTGACAAGATCTACTTAAGGGATGAGTCTAGAGGGACTTCCCTGACCGCACGGGCCGGGTCCTGGGCCCCCGGTGCTCCTTGATGCCCAGACACCTCCGTCAGGGCGATCTGACTGGATGGTGACCAGGTCTCAGGCACCCTCACAGCTTGCTGTGTCCCTCCCCACGCCCCCCACTTTCACTGGAGCCCGACTTCACCATCTCGTCCTTGAGCGGCTCCCTCTCGTCCAAACAGAACCCCGGGCGCTCCACCCCCTCACTCCGGCCGTCCCCACGTCCCCTCGGCTTGACCTTCAGAACACGGGGACCATCACCGCAACCTTCTCACCCAGAACACTGCAGCGGCCTCTTTTCTGACCTCTCCACCTCCCTGTTGGGGGGGAGCCCACACCATGGCTACCAAGCCCTCTGGCCCTTCCCTGGCCACCCCACCATCACCCCCCTCTCCCTACATTACTGTGTGTTCTGGCCCCCTGGCCTCCACCACCTCCATGGACACTCCGCGTTCCTTCCTATCTCAGGGAGGGCCTCGTAGGTGCTGCACCCTCCGCCTGGGCCCATTTCTCAAGTTATCTCCTTGTCACTTGGGTCTCAGCTCTTGTCACCTCCTTCAAGAGGCCTTTTCTGACCAGTTCTTTCAAGCCAATGCCTTATACTTGTTTCCACCATTAAAAGAAAAAAAAAAGTCCTCCCTGGTACATTTCACACCCTCTAACTATTTTATTTAATTTACTGTCCAACCTTGGCTCCCACTTCAGATTATAAGCATCACAAGGGAGCTTCTAGCACAGTGCCTGGCATACAGCAAGTGCTTAAGAAATGTCTGGTCATCTGAAGGGCAGAGGCCTGCTCAGACCCATGGCCGTATCACCTGCATCCCCGAGCATGTGGCCAGGCACCTGGGAGGCCGTGTGCAATGAACAAATGAGCAAACAGGCGAGGGTATGAGCTCTCCTCGTCTTTAGAAATCCTGCCTCACCTCCAACTCCCAACTTCCAGGGAAGCTGCCACAAGCTTCTCCTCCAGGAAGCTCCCTCTGATTAGTACCTCCTGACCGGTGCCAAGCGGGCCCTGAGCTGCACTGTCCGATACAGCAGCCACCAGCCAGCCAGCTCTGGAGCACCTGAAATATGGCTGCCCCGAACTGAGATGGGGTTTAGGCGGCAAAGACGCGTTGGATTTGGAAAACCAAGGAGGGGAAAAAAAGAACGTAAAATATCTCATCGAAAACTTAAAAACACTGATTACGTGTCGAAACGACAACATTTTGGTGTATTAGATTATGGAAACATGTTAGTCAAATTAAGTTTTCCAGTTGCTTTCTCCGTTTACAAACAATGTGGCTGCGGTTAAAGTTAAAACCACACATGTGGCTCCCACGTGGTGTGTGTCCCCCTCCAGCAGAGCACCTGCTGTGGGTGTCGGGGTCTGCCCCTGTCCCCCAGATCACACAAGGAGCCCCTAGAGGGCACGGCCACCATTTGCCACTTTTCTGGGTAGCAACTCCATATTCCAAGGGCCTACCAAGTGCCAAGCTCAGAAAAGGCATGAAGATGTGAATAGGGGCCTTAAGAAGTGCAGAGTGACCAGCTCTCCATCCTCAGGAAGGGGGTGGAGGGCCCGGGGATGAGGGTGGGAGAGGGTCTCTGGGACCCAGGCCAGGAATGGCCAGTTCCTCAGGGATGAGCTTGAATTGGCCTGTGTGGCCCCAGAGGCCACCTGATCTTTTATTAATGACACATTTCCCGAGCCCCATGGGCCAGGCCCTAGTCGGGGTGACGCTGGGCACCCAGAATCCATGCCGACCCAGCACTTCTGATCTGCCCCCAGGGGTTCCTGGCCTGAGAAGGTACAGGCAATGAGCCCTGTCCCCACACCTGAGGGAGATGCACAGAGACAGGCTACCGGGGGCCTCGGTGGTGGCTGCCAGGAGGAGGGGACATTTGAGGAGGGCTCTGAAAGGTGAGGAGGGTTCAGGAGCAGTTCACCGGGGGAGGGCGGCCAGAAGGAAGCCACACTGCTGAGGACGGCCTGGCTGAGGGTGGTGGCGGGGGTGGGGTGGGGTGGGGTGGGGGTTGGGACATGGGACATGGCAGTGCCTCCCTCTGGGGGCCAGCCCGGGACAGGCAAGGGTGCAAGGCGGGCCCTGGGAACCAGTGTGCACGCTCTGTTCTATTCCTGAGGATGACCACAACTGCTTCAAGCGCTCGCCTTAAAACTGTTGTGTAGGGACCAGACCAAAAAAAAAATCCTCTATTCTAAATGAACCGTATATTACAAAGCACCTGCTTAAACTTCATTGCAGAGAGACAGACATTTGAACAGCAACTGAATTTGAGGCTAGAGCACTCTCTGGATTTCGTTTAAACCACATTAAAAGCTTCGAGATGCAGGCAAACTAACGTATGGTGTTGGATGATGGAGCCATGGTTATCCTTGGCGGGGAGGACAGGGGACAGGGAAGGTGCACGAGGGGGTGCTGAGGAGTTGGGGATGCCGTTTCTGTCTCTGGGGGCCGACTCTGCAACTGTGTTCAGTCAGGAAAAGTTCATCAAGCCTGACACTTAGGATCTGTGGGCTTTTATATACATACACTATCTCCATATATGTACGATTACAGACGTAAGTTATTATACTTGTACACGAAATTACATATAAATATATGTTCATAGAGAAGCAATCAGCTACGCAAAAGACTCTATCAAGCAGATAGGGACAATTTAAGGAATATTTAGAGACTATATGTATGTGTGTGTATATTTTGTCTTTAAAGAGTCTTTAATTAAGGATGCCTGAGTGGCTCAGTCAGCTAAGCGGCTACCTTCAGCTCAGGTCATGATCCCAGGGTCCTGGGATCGAGCCCCGCATCGGGCTCCCTGCTCCACGGGAGGTCTGCTTCTCCCTCTCCCACTCCCCCGCTTGTGTTTCCTCTCTCACTGTGTCTCTCTCTGTCAAATAAATAAAATCTTTAAAAAAAAAAAAAAGAATTCAGGGGCGCCTGGGTGGCTCAGTCGGTTAAGCCTCTGCCTTCGGCTCAGGTCATGATCCCAGGATCCTGGGATCGAGCCCCACATCGGGCTCCCTGCTCGGCGGGAAGCCTGCTTCTCCCTCTCCCATGCCCCCTGCTTCTCCCTCTCCCACTCCCCCTGCTTGTGTTCCTTCTCTCGTTGTGTCTCTCTCTGTCAAATAAATAAAATCTTTAAAAAAAAAAAAAAAAGGAATTCAGAGGGGTGCCTGGGTGGCTCAGTCGGTGAAGCGTATGCCTTCGGCTGAGGTCATGATCCCAGGGTTCTGGGATTGAGTCCCGTGTCGGGTTCCCTGCTCAGTGGGGAGTCTGCTTTTCTCTCTCCCTCTGCCGCCCCCCCCAACCCCTGCTTGTGCTCTCTCAAATAAATAAATAATCTTAAAAAAAAAAAGGAATTCACAGAGAGAAGAAAGCATCAGGTCTCCAAAAGAGAAGAGGCTGTAGCCTTGAGGGAGGGCATCCCGGCAGAGGGCACAGTCTCTGCAGAGATCTAGAGGCAAGTAGTAGCCTGGGTGTCCAGAGATAGTACATGGGTGTTACTGAGGATAACACATGGAAGAAAGGGGCTGAGGGCAGCTGGGACAGAACTGGTCTAACGGAAGGAACTCAGGGCCAGCCAGCGATAGGGGGATGAGCTCACCATCACGGGAGGCATGCAAGTATGTCCGGGCATTTTAAAGGGATTTCTTATCCTCAAACATTCCCTGGGCCAGGCTCAGCGATGAGTCACACAAGCCCTGCACTGGGGGAGCTCCTGGATTGGAAAGGAGGCTGACAGGGACAAGCAAGTACTTTGACAGAGGCAAATGTGATGGGGGCTGGGAGGCTGGAATCAGACCAGGGGAGGAAGTCTTCCTGGTACACAGCTCCCGGGATTTGAGGATCAACATTCGGAGCGGCACTGGACCAAGCAGAAATAAGGGGAAATGTGCTCCAGGCCGTGCAAAGGCCCAGAAACTAGCACAGCAGGCAGGCCCAGACCTCTTCTGGTTTTTCTCAGAGGGCTGAGGAGCCATGGGAGGCTGCAGGCCCCTCTTCTGCTGGTAGCTGTGGTTGTGAGGAGCGTGCGGGTAGAAAAGAGGGCTTGCTGCAGGCTAGGGGAAGGAATGGCTGAGCAAGGACCTGCCCTACCTCGGGGCTTCCGCTAGTGAGGGGACATAAAGCCTTCCCTGCGTGGGCGCTAAGCTGCAACATCAGGTGGGTCTGTCTCTGCCACCAAAGGCATCCTAAAAACCCCGGGTTCCTCCACCCTGGAGGGACTGACATACTTTTATGGAGGTAGCAGGTAAGGGGGTCCAGTACCTCACCGGGAGACAGCTACTATTTATAC